CCCCCCCCCCCCCACCCCGCACCCCCCGTACCACGCTCAGCAAGAACAGTGTTAAGCAGAGGTGGTTGAGAGGGATGAGAGGGGGAGGGGGCCGACTACTACCACCCACCACCACGACAACTACCACGCTAACTACGACTACCACTGCTGCTGCTGCNNCTGCTGCTGCCGCTGCTGCTGCTATTGCAACACCCACGGCGACTAGTACGAGTTGCATTCGCAAGGTTCCCTGTGTCGAAGCACTGCTCAGTCAGAAGCCAACCATCGGGAGTGTGCGGAGGACACCGACATGTCGTGGTTAGTTTGTTCGAGACGATCCAGCTCAGCTGCCGAACACAGGGCATACTGCACAAAAAATGGCGCGATGTATAGGCTTGCAAAGTTGTTTTCAGACCCAGAGTACATTCGGTAGGCTTGTATCTCCCTGCACGTGTCGCATTGCGTCAAAGGGAGTGCGACAGGACTTGTGGGGTGCCTTGCGGAAGGACTTTCAGGATTGCCTCTCGGCGACCTGTAGCTTTCGGCTGGACGGCGTTTATCTGCAAGCTGTTTCACGGCAGGAGCTGACATCAATCGAGGAGCTGACATACATCCTCCAGATCCTGAGCAGGCCCGTTTCCTAGTCACGTTTCAGAGCAGTTAACGGGCACACATTCAGAATGCGGCTTATCGCCCAAGTGGCACATGTCGCATTGAATGGGCTTCATAGACGGTTTTGCGGTGCAGAGGGGCAGCCCAAATAAAGGCGTGTTGTGTGCTTGATGTCTTGGCTCTGCCTGCTCCAGCAATCGCTTCGGATACAGCGAGCAGAGCATGGAGCTGATGTTTGCAGGCATCTTGTCTGCAGAAGGCTTCAACCTTGCAGTGAATTTCTGATTCTATGTCTCTTGACTGTTCGGATGAGCTAGAGGAACTGCCGAGCGCCTTTAGGGGATTTTAGGGGCACGAGCCTATGCATCCTGTTGTGAGAACGGGCTCGCTGGCGTGGCTCATAGTAGTGCAGTTGATGGAAAGCTGTCCACCTGGCATGATGTGTTGACCGTAGTGGACAAGCAAGTCCAGGTGTTAGCTAAAGGCAAGCGCCTGCAGACATCTGCACACACCTTCCAACTCGTCGAGCTGTTAACCGTCTTCCATGGTCGAAGGTCCCAAGTATCACCGCCATGCAGAACTGCTGAGAGTGTTGTTGCGGCGACGGCTCAAGGCCGTGCTTCGTGCAGAGTCTGCGCAGCAATCGGCAGATTTCCGTTCCTTGGTCGGCTGCAGAGCATGTGAAGTCTTTGCCGTCGGCAAAGAGCTTTTCCTGCTATTTGGCGTACGCTGGGACGAACAGCGGAGGGGAGGCGGCTTGCGCTTCCATTTTGGCCATGGAGGGGGCTACATGGTTGAGCAGAAGCCCTCCCATGGTGATGTTGTCCGGTGGGGCCCCAAGTCTCCCGGAGGAGGTCATTGCAAGCATGGCTCTGCAGCAGTTGTCCTCGAGTTCTCAGAAGCAGAAGTCGATGAGACTGACAAAGCTGAAACTCCCTGTGATTCCGCATCCTCGACTGATACTCGGACCGGGCTGCGACTTTTGCTTTGGAGCGACTTGGGAAGCTCTTTCAGTTTAGCACCTCCGGAATATGTCCACGCCGTGGAGGCTCGCAGTGCCTTTGACATAAACGCAGACCGAGACAAGCGCTTTGCTCTCGACGACGCCATTCGCATGTTTCAGGCGTCTGAAGAGCTCGTCGTTGATTTCATCATGGATCAGTCGCGATTGCCCGGGGTGGGCAACATCATCAAGTGCGAAGGCTTGTTTATGGCAGGTATTTTCCCTCTTCGACGTGCAAGCGAGCTGACTGACACGGAGTGGCGAGGCTTGCTGGAGGAGCTTTACCACTTTTCGGATCTCTGGTATAGGCACTGCAAGAGATCCGAAGATGGGCAGAACATGGGCTGCTGTCACCTTATGCGAATCTATGGCCACAAGGTGTGCTCTCGTTGCAGCTGCCCTGTTAGCCTGATAAAGGAAGGGCGAAGACAGCGCATAACGTACTTTTGTCCACACTGTCAGCCTATTCCGAATTTTCGGCTTACCACAGAGCGTGCACATCGTCAGGAATTGGCCATCCAGCTGCCACTCTGCATGTGTGGGACACCGCCAGTCCTTTTACAGGTTCGAGCGGGCAACTATGCAGGATACGGGGAGGACCGACGTCCTTACCTCTCCTGCCAGAGGCGGAGGGGAAGTAGCTACGATGACGGAGGTTGCGGGATCCCCGGTCCTTGGGATGGCTGTGGCTTCCATGCATGGTTGGACGAGGTTGCGGAGCTTCCAGCTTGTCACTGCCAGAAGCCTGCCTTACTCAGGCGTGTCATGAGTGTCTCGAAGGAGAATGGCCGATATTTCCTCCGCTGCGCCTCTCGATCTTGTAAGTTTCGCTGCTGGTTGAAGTTGGCGGAGGAGACTTGTGCTGAAGCCACTCGTAACAGCTCCGGGCGTTGGAGGCGACATGCGGCACCCCACACGTCTGATGGAGGCAGCTCAAGCCACCCAGAAACATCTTCAAGTGAGAAGGACTCGCAGCCTTTGAAAGAATGCAGTCAGTTCATGGAGCCCCTCTCCGGCACTGCCAAACCCAAGCGCTGGGGTAGTCGGCAAGGGTACCTCAAAAAGATGTCGCTTCATCTTGTTTTGTCCTGCAGTAATGCATCTGCTGCGGGCGGCTGCATCAATTGCAAGCACGGGCAGAACCGGGAGGCGGTTCGGGCATGTTCCAACCTCACTCAGATCTTGCTCAGGCAGCATGTTTGAGCACTCCTGCCTGCCGAATTGCTTCTTGGGGACATGGCAGACCAAAGGCCTGGACTTTGGCTTCGATCCTTTCAGTCTCGACGGCTTGCAACATGAGCAGCGAAGTATCACCTTCGGAGCTCTCAAGCACTGGCACTGCCACCATGCAGCAATAACACAGAACCACGAAGCTATATAGGCGGCTTCACCTTCCGCACAGAGTTCCTGCAGTGCTTCCAAATCGAAAGCTGTGCAAGCTACAACCCCAGGTGCACCTAGGTTAATCTCGGTTATACGCGTGTAGGCCTGTAGGTTTTGACAAAAACAATGTGATGATTCTGTGTTGAGACTCGCTCCGATCATGCATCATGCCGCCGAAGGTTGGCTGCACACCCTCCTGTGTTTGCAGGGTTGGCCTCGCGCCCCGTGCCAGGCGAAACCTGGTGCAAAAGCAACTGCCAAGCCGGCAGCGGCCAAGGCCAAAGCGGCCAGTTCTCCAGAGCCCATCGCACCAGTTGCTTGGCGAGAAGACGTCAGGATTAAGATTCAGAGCACCAAACACAGCGCGGTGAGGTTTTCCAGCCAAGACTGCTTTTAACAATGGCAATCTTCCAACAAGTCCATCACAACTTCTCCAGTCCTTTACATCTCGAAGTCCAGGGAAGAACGAATTTCCTCCTTTCGGGCAGTCGTTCCGTTCCACGGATTCCTGCCCATCGTCCCCAGGCTCTCAAGCTTACAGGTAGCAAAGGAAAACGCAGACACCCGGCTCCAATCTGGAGTATCATTGAACAACACCTGCAACGGCCCACATGCTGCACCTAAGGTCAAATTACCTGGGCCGGAAAAGCTGTCGGTGGCCTGTCACGCATTATCCGTTTCCCTTCGTCCCTGCACCGGGCATAGCGATGCAAGGTGTTTGATGCTGAAACGAATCTGAATTTTATCGAAGATGACGATTGGGCGGCCCTTGCAAGCACGGAGACCCCGAGCAGCAGCGTCGGGAAGGTGCTCGAAGCGCTTCTCACACTTCTCGGTGACACGGATGCCGCGAACTGGGCAACAGCTGCCACGGCCCTCGAAAAGCCCGAAGAACTGGCAGAGAGCCCAGTGAGTTTGTTTGAAGTAGCCAGGCACATCATACATTCCCGTTCCCAGCAAGCAGTCAGATGGGAGATGCATCTTGCTGATAAGGTGCGCGAGATCCGTGCATTGGGCCCTTTGGGATGTACTCAGCTGCAGCTGCAGAGGGCAGCTGCCGTGATCTCAGAGGCAGACTTGGGAAGCCTCATGGCTACGACATCTCCGACAGCGCCTCCGCCAAAGGCGAAGGCGAAGGCGGCTAAGGCCAAAGCGGCGGAGCCTTCAGCCCCAGCGCCGCGGCCGCCCTCGGAGGGAGCACTGCGGGCGGCGCTCGCACTGGCACAGCTGGTCGAATCCTATGTGGCGGCAGCAGAGAGCCCTTCCAAGTTTCCGATGGAGTGGCCAGCGGTGCCGTTCAGAGACCTTCACAGGAACCTGCAACATGCTCTGCACTCGAAGCAGCATGCATGTCTGATCTGCTGCAGCAAGCTGGCTACCAAAGCTGTCAGCCAGTACCTGCAGCTCTGTGGTGCGGGGATGGTCAACGTATGTCAGCTGCAAGTTCAGGCCCCGGGACAAAAGTAGGACCAGCGGTGCCAGTACCAAGTAGGACCTGGATCTGACGGTTTGACGGTGAGCAGGTGCAGCTGGCCAAGGCGATGCCACCAGACGTAGCTCGCACAACGCTGGGAAGCGCATTGAAGGAAGCACTTGCTCGAGGATCACGCCTCGCGCTGCAACTGGGGACTTCACCACCGAACTTGCGCAGATTCTGTGACTCACAGATGCCTATCGAAGCCTTCGAGCATGAGAAGACCAGCGAGGTCGCGCGGACACTCGGCCTGGAAGCCACGGAAGCTCCCGACTTTCAGATGGTTCTCCTTGTTGAAATGTCCAAGGCAACGGCTGAGAAGGCTCTGCCACAGGTGCTCCCCGGTTTCGACGAAATGGCCGTCATGCTTGTGGATGACGCAACCCTGCCATCCAACAGCCAACTGGACGAAGCAAGCAAAAGACCTACGTCCCTAAGATCAGCGCTGAGCCTCCTAGCCGTGGATGCAGCGAAGACCGCAGCACCCACTGCCCCGACTGAAGCTCCAGTAGCCTTTGCGGAGGGCGTAGTGGTCAACGAAATCGATTTCGAGTACATGGAAAAGTTTGGAGAAGACTGGCAAGAGCGCTGGCCACGGCCTCGGAGCGCAGATATCTCCAGCCAGAGAGCGAGTGAGAGAATAAGAACATTCTCAAGGCTGCTCGGGCCCTCGGAGCAGGACATGGTGTCGACGCCAGGTTTTGTTAGGAGCACCCTGCAGAAGCCTTGGACACGTTCTCAAGCACAACTCTTGCGGCCCGAGCTGAGTCAATAGTTGATGGTAGTTGCACAGAACGTCAGACTTAGACCGAGATTTGGCATCCACTAGCAGAGTGTCTTACCATGTCTGAAAGGACGAGAGCGGCAAGGAAATCCGGAAGGGTTTGATTTCGGCGAAGCTGGCGGTTGCCTAAGTTTCCGGTCCATCGCGAGCGCTTGTGGAATGGCTGGGATTTGAGGTGAAATATCCATCCAACCCCAAGGAGGGACCACTCTTGGCTTGAAATCGCTGTACGATAGCTGCATGAGTGCAATGGGCAGGATGCAAAGATGTGCCTGCAGCTGATGGGAGGCAGAACCAGGTAGAAGCAACCACGTACAGTAGTGGATGCTTGCAACGGGCAGGGGCCGCGAACGCCCCATGCACTGGCATTTGGACTTGCTTCACTCCGCTCATCAGGCCAACGGAGGCCCGCGGTAAGCACAGCCTAGCCACGGACCGGCCTGTTGCAGATTGCTGCAGCCTCTTGCAGGTAGAATTTGAGTTCACGGTGAATGGGAAGGTGCCCCGCGACACTCTGTGGCTCTTTTCCAGAGTCCTAACTTCAGGTTGACATGCCAAATGCATGCATGGTGTTTACGGAGAAACCCTTCGAGGCATGGCCTCAGCAGGTTTCTCAGCAGTTCACAAGAAGAATATGTGCGCAGGGAGCTTTGCCGGACTGCAAAGTGGGCGTGCAATTCACGGTGGGAGCCTGAAAGACAGACCGGTGAAGGCTCCTTGTTTTTCAAGCATTCCCATTCAGGCATTAAGGCACTGGTATAGAGTATATGGTGTAGCAGCGCCCGTCTGAGGTCCGTGGAGGCATGCAGCTCTGTGGAGGTGGAGGAAACTTGGTAGCAATCTCAGCCAATGTGTTAAAGAGCACAGCTACACTTTGCATCTGCTCTGACTCCTCGTACCAGGTGAGGATCAGCAATGATGGAAAGATTCAGAACGACAAGTGGAACAAGGCCCGGATATCCCGGATGCAAGAATCGGGGCCCGCAAACGCCTGTCGCGCTCTTGGTGTTTTTTCTGCTGTGGTTGAAGGTGCTCATAAAGATCGATTGGGCTGACAAAATTGCCGTGGCGCAAGTGGACACCCGAGGCAACAGCCATGATTGACGATTGGTTTTAATCTGTGGCAGGGGTACAGTTTCGAATGGTGCGTGCTCATCTGTCAGTGCAGCCTAGAGTCTCCAGTGAATGTACGGGAACACGAGGCAAGGGATACGCACCAGCAATCCAGACGGTGATCAGCGCTTACTCGTTGCTCTTGCGAGCAGCTACTCCGGCGCTCAGAAATCAAAGAGCGAGCTTGCGCCCAGCCGAGGCCTTTCAGGGATCCTACCTGCTGCGGATTCGGTGCCCTGTTCATCTACAACACCGACACCCAGGAGACCAAGCTGTGCTAGCTAGCATGCGCCAGCAGCTTTACCTGAAGTTGACTCGGTCAGCCAGAGGCTACCTGTTGGTTCAGCGAGCTCCGAGCTCCTTCCCGGCAAAACGTGAAGTCACCGTCCATTCATCTCACATGAGAGCTCGCACTGAGCTTGCTGAGGTGAAGCAGCAGCAGCAGGACATGGCCATGAGTGGCAACGTGCCGGACTTAACCTGGCTCCTGCTTGCGAGTCAGCGCAACTGCAAGCCGTCACACACCTGACGTCCTCAGGATGCCTTAGATGCACGCAGAGAGCTTGCCGAAAGAATGAAGCAGAGAGAGTGCCCAGTGCAAGTACACAAAAGCAGACTCGTGCTAGCTGCGAGCTTGTGCTTCGGCCCAGCAGGAGCAGGTGAGTCTGTTATTGTTATGAACCGAGCTGGTGACGAGCAAGCTAGGTACCAAATGGCTGTGGATGCTGACATGGAAGTTGGCATGAAAATGGGTGCCATCAAGTCAGCGCCCTATTGCTCCGCAACTCCGCAAAGATCAGAGAGATCGATCTTGGAGCTATCGCAACTCTCCTCCCAGGTCAACGACATGCCATGGGATGAACTTGGCCATGGAACAGGCAGTCATCTCAGTGTATCCCGTAGCTCGGAACGTGACCCGGAGTAAAAGACTGGACGCCTAGGCTGCAAACAACTCCAGCGGCCATGCTTTGGGATGAGTGGGAGGAAGGTGTTGCGAGATGCCGTGAGCATCGCTGCACGAAGTGGAAGGTCGCAGGGGAATAGAAGGCTCAAAGCAAAGCCAATGTTCACCCCCCGGCAGAGCGCAGCAGAAAGAATAGTGGCCGTGTGCAACTGTTTTGACTGTGTGCATGTGCCGGCTGGCATCATCATTTGCTGCCCACGTTGTTCGATGTTGCTCGGACCATCTGGGCGACCTGCAGATGGAGAAGCGGGTACACAAACTTACCGTGCCCTCCGTGACATCAAAGCGGGCGAAGCCGCGAACCAAGTGTCAGCTCGTGCGGTTCTAGTTCTAGTGCAAACTGGGAAGCTTCAGAACTGTGCTGAGGCTTTGTCTATCGACTACCTGAACTTCCCTGCTGGTTATTGCCCGGCAGCTGCACGTGCAAAGGCACGGACCCTGGTCATTGTCGCAACTCGTGTTCCTAGTGGCGAGTAAACAAAACATTGTATCCCCCAGCGCTGAGGCATTGCAAGGATGGGGATTTTCATGTACATGCCCCAGGCTCTGACATGTTGCACTTTCTGGCGGGAATCGAGGAACGAGCATTTTGGGGGAGAAGAGAGAGGCAGCGAGAGAATCTCATCATCGTGCGAATGCTGCACACCCAACGCCTGCATCAAGCCTCACATGAGACTGCCAGGGCATTTCGATGTGCAGAAGACGCACAGCATTCCGCTGCAACCCATACAGTACCTTTCATGAGTGATCTAGTATCGGTGACAAACACGGTAAGATCAAAGGCTATTCTCACATCGAGACCGAAATGTCGTGCAGCTTTTCTGCTGTTGTGGAAAAGACATGGATGTCTGCGAGACGTGTCGTGTTCCCTCTCTGGCTTGTAGTGTGGCGGGCGGATCACTAGCTCTAATCTAGGACATTCTAGGACTCTAGGGTTTGGAAACCTTGATATCCAGCACGCCCTCAAAGAACTGCTGTATCTTCGGGCGGAGCGATTACAGCAGGCCATCGGGAGTGGAAGCTTTCGTCAAAAACTTCCGTGCAACGAGCTGTGACCGGGTTGGGTACTGCCACCTACAAGTACTCGGCAACAATTGGCAACATGCTGACGATTCCAAGGTGACATACGCCGGCACTCCACCAGTCCACTGTCTTAATGAACGCCTCTTCGTGCCTTCCGATCATTTGCAGGTGTGTGTCCTTGCCGGAGGTGGAACGCAGCTTTGTTTGTCCTGCCTGCCAGTGACTCAGGAAGCTGTTAGGTCACCTCACGGAGTGTAACTCAGACCAGCGGTCGCGGAGGTGGCGAGCCCCAGCTTTGCCCAAGCCATCCGAACAGCTCAGGGATGGGCTGCCTATCTTGCGGCAAGGCTCCAGAGGCACCCACAAATGGTTCCTGCCTTTGCCATCGTGCTTGTATTACATGTGCTGCAGGCCGACTACGTCGCTCGATGTATAGACCGCGAGGCTGCTCTCTTCTGCAGAACGATTTGAATGCCGTGACTCATCGACGGATGATGACCGATGTCAAGATGCTAAAGGCCAAATTGGCACAAGCTCATTCCCGCAGCAGCCCCGGCATCGAGAGTATGGGACTTCGGGCATGAGGGTGCAGACAATCCCCCAATTCCGCTCAAGCAAAAGGTAGTCCGGCCGCGGATGACGATGCCTTGCAGGCGGTGCGTTGCTAGCAAGCTCCGCGCAGCAACAGATTGGGGAGTCATTGAGAAACTTAAAAAGTTCCTCAAACGCACCAATTTGGGTTCAGTTGCCTGGACTTTTCAGGCTGACGACGAGGAAGAAAGCTTACTCGGATTTCATCATCATTTGGTCTTCCAGGTCCGTGGAAGTCTCATAGTAGCAGCCGGCTTGCCTTTGGCTTAGCAGTAGTAGCCAGGCCTGCAGTGTGTTCGGACTTGTTCTGAAGACAACTGTGTTTGCTTGGAGGCTTTGTGGCAAGAAGCAGAGCAGGGCCTGCCAGAAGGGGAAGACCTGCCAGCCTTCCAGCAAATCTTGGAGGCTGCGGATGTTTGCATGCAATGGCCGCCAAGGGAAACGACAGAGCGACCCGACAAGCAGCTTTGGCTTCGGAACATGGGAAGAAGAATGGAAGACATTACCTGCTTTTCAAGAACGGGTTTCAGTCTCATAGCACCACCGGCTTGATAACCAGTGGCCCACACGCGACCAGCGCCATGACTTCAGCGCCCCAAGCGCCCCACCCCGAGGAGACGTGCGCAATGCCTTTCACTCGCGCGTCCATAGCTTCCAGGGCATCCGAAGCCGTCGGAATCGAGGGCGGCCTGCCGTCGTTAACTACTGTACATAGGCTATGCCAGTGTAGTGTAAGGGTGAGCCTTGGTTCGGTCCAGAAGTTTTGCCATCTAGTTCACAAACACTTGCAGTGATCCTGCTGATTGGCCCTTCCTGCTTGCTGGGGTTTTCGTGTGGACAGGACTTCTATGACTTGCTGGAAGTCGCGAGAGATGCAGATGCAGAGCAGATCAAGACTGCAGTGACAGATTGTGACTGGCACATGGCTGATGCGGTTGCTGCAACGGTAAAAGCTGAGTGACCAGGAAAGCCTACAGAAGGCAAGCATTAAAGTGGCATCCAGACAAGCAGGATGCTGCCAATCGCGCCTATGCCGAGGACTGAGCAGATCTTTGAGTGTGGACGAAGTTTGCTGGGCATGTCTCTCCAGGAGCGGTTCAAGCTCATTTCGGAAGCATACCAAGTCCTCAGCGATACCGAGCAAAGAGCAGCTTTCGACCGCTTCGGGAAGGCAGCTGGGCTGATGGCTGGCGCAAGTGTTGGTCCAACCCTTTTGTTTCATCCTGGCTGAGGATGGTATGCGAGACCCAGGCAGGTCTGGCCACAATGCCCCCACCCTGGTACTGAGAGTCTGAGATCTGAGAGCTTTGGCTTTGCTTGAAGCTCGGTGCTTGGTCTACCCGAGGACAGCAGCTTCGGCATGACCGAATTTGGGCCATTTGCTGGCTTTGGAGGCTGCCTGGACCTGCTTAGATCGGCTTCTTTTGTCGTCGAAGACGTCTTGCTCAATCGGTGTCGCTGCATAGGCTTCGGCCAGGGCAGCCCAGGCCACTGCGCGAAATCCAAGCCACCGGCTCTTAGAGATGTGGCAGCTACTGGGTGGACTCGTCGTTAGCTGACCCTGCAGAGTTTCCTGTTAATAAAGAAAACTTACAAGAGGATGAAAGCCCAAGCATGCAGACTCGGTAAGCCCTTGCCGGGGCGAATGCGGTGGCAGGTGTCCGTGTTGTTTTCACGCGCACCGGCCCAGATGGAGTCAGGCCAGGGAACTGCAACGAAGCGAGCGTCATGCAAGATGCAAGCTACGTCGGTGATGTTCAGGTATACTGAGACGCGGACGAGCACTGATGCTTCCACGTTCGGTGCGTTCGGACGCCGGAAACTGATGAGAATGCTTGCTCTTTCCTAAAGCAAGCTGATAAAGAAGATAAGATGCACCTGCACAATCCTGCACAGTGGCTACGCATCATGCAACGCTGTCATCGTCTTGAGGTCGCGATCCTTTCGACCTCTTCCGGGATTTCTTCAGCCATCGGTCGAACCTATTTGCAAACCATGCGCCTGGCTTCGGCCACTTCGGCCCATCAATGCGAGGTGGCAAAACTGCAATTTCTAGCGCAATGCTTGTAGTCCATCTTTCGGAGCACTTGCCGCAGGTTCCGAGGAGGAGGAGGAAGAGGATGAGCTGCAGCGGGCTATCAGGTCCGAAGCAGCTTGTATGTTCTCCTTAAGCAGTTCCTGCAATGTGTTGCGCTGCCCAACTCAAGAGCACCACAGTTGCAAGTCACGCCGCCAGGCTTTCGACGCAGACGGCAGAAGAGGCATTGCTAGCTGCTTGATGTGCTCGGTTCCAATGTTTTCAGAACTCGACGAGGAGCAGCAGCGTCGCCTGCGTCAGTTCCAGCCAGTGTGCGGCCGAGAGCCTTCCGAGAGCTGAGCTTGGATATTCCACGAGCAGCTTGGGCAGAGCAAATTTACAAGGACATGGATGACGATGCAGCACTACGTGTTGCACTCGCGGCATCGAGGCACCCTCATCACCAGAGCTTGTTGCAGGCTTCTCAGATTAAACTGCCACACCCACTCTTCACACTTGCCAGGTCACACGCGCAACAGAATGAAGTACCAACAGTGCCAACTTCTGTGATGTGAGAAGCACAGGCATGAAGGGCCCAGCTGGAATGCATCGAAGGGCAAAAGCAAAGGCCTGCAAAGACATCAAAAGACCTTAGCCTTGATCGAAAGCTGAGCATTGGTTCCAGCCCGGCCATGCCCAACTTCCAGGAAGCTGAAGCCACTCCCCGGTGTGCAGAAAAAGCGCTGCATCATGGCAGCCACTGGTGCTCCAAGGTGTTTTCCGCGCGCCGCCTGTACAGAGAGCGCAAGTTGCGGGGACAGGAAGCTTTCTTGATAAAGGGCCAGGAAAGGTGGGAGTGACCTGGTGCAAGTGTGTGTTCCTCTGGTACAGTTTAGCTTAGCAGTCAAAGCTTAGCAGCACATGCTCACATGCGGGCTTCGAACGAGAAGAAAGCTTTCGAGAGACAGACTTGGAAAGCCCGCCTGTTGGAGAAAAATGTGTCAGGCAGCATTCGACATTCCGGAGGATTGCAGAGAGTGTTGCATGACGATGTGGCAGCACCACTGGACACTGCTTTGACAGGCGTTGATCGAAAGCATCTCCAGCGTGTGCAGACGCAAAGAGCATCCCGCTATGCAACGCACTTGGGATGCGTTCGCAGCATCCTTCCCGGCCCAGATGCTGGACCCAGGCTGGACTTCTACCACATGGCCGCGCTGTCCACGCATGAAGACTTGGAGGTTTGACGCTGCCGGCCGGTAATGTAAGGCTTGCAGGTTCGGTTGTGTTTATGTTACTTTCTGAACGAGGCGCCGTGAAGCAAGACTCGGAAAAGGATAACCGTGAAGAGATTTCGCAACAAAATCCATACTGTTGTGACGTTGGCACTGAGTCGAGAACATGGCTGAACATCAGAATTAACAAAAGACAGGGAAGCACCAAGTTTGGTGGTCATACCATATTTAGCCCACAAGGCAAGTGTTTCGGCGGGAGCATGATGCAGCATCAACCTGGTAGCCCGAGATCCATGAATCGCAGGGAAGGTGAAGAGGGGGGTCAAAACTTTCAGGTGCAGAAGAAGTACCTGGAACATGAACATTGCATTTTGCCTGGCTCTCGGAGAAGGGGAAATCAGAGGAAGTCCGAGGCTCTGGGAAGATTTGCCTTCGCCGTCCGGACGGAATCACAAGCTGTTTATGGATTATAAGGATTTATACGGTACATGGCCCTCCTCCGTCTCCTCAGTTAGTCCTGGCGTCCTAGTGTACATGGCCTTTCCCTTGTACAGAGGGCAGATGCCGAGGGCCTAGGGGTTTCATTAGGAATCCGATCGTTGAATATGTTTGGGCCGGTGCATTGCACAAGACATTCATGTCATGTAGCTTCGCAGAAATAGACGAAGTTCAATACCGCAGAAGGCAGTGTTGTTTTCTTTGTTGCTCATCCTCCCAGTCGTCCTCATTGAATATTCGTCGATCTTGCCACAGATGTTTGGAACCGTTGGCACTGCTGCTCCGGTGCGGTTTGTTCCAGTTGGGATCGAAAGGATACTCTTGACAGCGGTTGTCAGAATTTGGGCACGAAAACTTTGGAGCCCGAAACTTCCACGGAATGCTTCTGAACGCGAAGAGACCGTCATCCCGAACGCATCGACGAACAAGAGCCAGACGGCATCAGAAGGCTCTTGTCACCCAGACAACACCAGTGACTGCCCGCCGAGGCAGCAATTCTATCCAGAAGAGGCGTGCTGTCCATGGTCTCTAGTCATTCTAGTCCTTATCCTCATGCTTCGTGTCCGATGCAAGAGTACCTTGGGCGCATATGGGCTTTGGTGTCATTCCTAGCAACTGTGGTATTCACACTGTCCGGAATAACCCAGGCCACGCACTTCGCCTCCTCGGGGCTGACTTTGTATCAACTCGAAATCCCGCTGCTCAACAGTGCACTTGAACTTGTGGACCCGGGAGCCTCACGGGCGCTCCTGGAAGGGTTCTTGGGTACGTGGGCTTAGACTGCTGTCTTCCACTGTTTGGGATCTACACTTGCATAATGCATGGAAGGCTGCACGCCAAGATGCCGAGATCATGGCTTTGGCCGGCCACCTAGCTTTCAGCCACCTTGACACTCTTTTGTCAAGTCCGGTCTTAGGTGCAGGGCAACGGACCTATGCAAGCCACAGGTGTCACTCAGAAGCATGCTTTGTCCGAAATGGATTAGGGTCCTCGGCTCCACAAGCGAGAGGGAAAAACATCTTATCAAAGGATTTCTGCTGATACTGGTTTCATTTCACGCAGATCAAGCAACTTCGGTTGGTGGCACAGGCAGCTTCGTGCGATCCGGCTGCTTTTGCAGCAGCTGTTCAAGCTTGAAAGCAACGTTGGAGTCCAAGCCCGAACGTTCCGCAGAAGATACGTTTTCAAAACAAGTGATGCACAACGTGTATTTAGTGACGCAATGTTAAGTCAAGATATCTTGTGTCAATCGGAAGGTAAGTGTTTGGATGACCATGTGTTTATTTTGTGCTTCTGGTTTTTCAATGGCAGGTCTGACCTTTCAATCGATATTCCAAGTCCTGAAGGTAAACGAACATGACGAATATTCAATAACTGCGCGACGGGGAAAGTTTTCTCTTAGCCAGAGCCAATGGTAGCACAGCTGCTGAGGTCTTCCATTGCCAGTACTCCATGAATACTGGCAGTGGAAGATGTCAGCAGCTTTGCACATGGATTCAACATGGCACCGTCACTGACAGACAAGCAGTCAAAGTGCGGCAGCACAACATGAGACAGACCTTCAACTGAGTAGGCGGGCCAGTTGGCCAGTACTGGCGGCTGAGATGTGGCACAGCAAAGCCGACATGAGTTGTTCAAACAGAAAAAGTAGACTGGACGGAGAAGCGCCTTCGGCATGCAAGACGCGGGCTGCAGAGCCCGGCGAATTGGGGTCGGGCATTGCTAGCCGAGATTTAGGCTGCGGTATGACGGCCTGAGCGTGCGGCTAAGCCTAGCCAGAGGGACTTTGCTTTTNNAAAAGCAAAGTCCCTCTGGCTAGGCTCAGCCGGGAGGCTCGGTCCGCTAATCTCTTAGCCAGAGCCAATGGCATACCCAAGGACGAACTTGCTGGGTCGGGCCGTTGTTTTTTCCACAATTGCTGTTCCCGGCGAAGAACGCTGGGCTCGCTGCTGAATGCGAACATGCTCGTCGAGCCTGCTGCGCCTGGCAGGGAGCCGACAAGAGTGGTTCTGACTTCATGAATCCGTCTGACTGTCGATTCGACTCAACATGGTGTGGAACGTGTGGAGCTTGTGTTGATTCCCAATTTTGTTTCCTTTCGCTAGAGGCCCTTCATCCATCTTCATCCCGTCGAGCAAAGGGATCTTGAAGTAACACATCGTTAGTCATGGGCACATTGGAGGCCGGTGGATGGTCCGTGCATCATGCCATATCACACTATTACACCATTGGCGTTAGCATGAGTCTGACTTGGGCGGAGGTGAACAGGAACGTTGAGGCCCTTGTAATGGAATTTATAATAAGAAATTCGATAAAATTAAACTTTAAATTCTTAGCAAATTCGCTTATTCCTTATACATTTTGAATCATAATATCAAATTCAAATTTATATCTATTATTCTGACGAAATATCAAACTCTGATATTTTTATAATTTTATTTATAAATTAGAGTTGACTCGCTGCTTCTAGCAACGGAGTTCAAGTGGAATATACAGCTTGGTAATATTCCGGTAACGATAGTCCAAGATTGAAAATATATATATATATATAAATTTAGAGTGCCAGATCTCAGTGCGAAGGTGTAAATCTCGTGTAGCGGTGCAGCTACAGACAAATTGATATCGAATTCTTGTACGTAATTTTCCGACACTAAAATTAGTTACGGATATTTGAATAATACCGATTTATGACATTAGAGGTAATTTGTAATTATTCACTTCGGCTTTTATAATAGTCATCCCAAAAGTGAAGCTAAGCTTTCGGGGATAATATTTTATATCAAGTTTCATTTAGATTGTTATGCCACCGAGGGTAGAATTATAAGTAGGACGCGAGGTCTTTTGCATAGTAGAGAGAGGCAGTAATAATATAGAGGTGTAATATTTATATACGTTGTGTAGGAGTCAATAGTTTTCATTATATTGAAAGCACTTGATAATAAACTATATTGCGCATGAATAGATGCTCTTTGTGAGGCCCTTGATCGGAATAGTTATGAGCTAAGACCTGAATATGGCTATGGCCAATTTTTTTATTAGAGAGGCAGATAGAAAGATAGATAAATAGATATGCCAGAGAGACAGAGAGTGAGATAAAGAGAGAGACAGAGAGAGAGATAGATAGATAAATATTAAATTTTCGTGCGTAAGCACTGTTCTAGAGCACTGATAAGATATAATATCGAGTATAAAATTATAAAATGATTATAACGCATATTCTATATTTACAATATAACACATTAGAAAATTATATTCATTCTCTAATTTTTCCGAGAATTTTCGTTATCTAAATTTTAGAAAATTTGAAGAAGTAATAATTGAAATATTTTTCTATAAATTTCGAAATATTTTTTTCTAAAATCTTAGAAGATTAGGCCTAATCCGAGACCATCGAAGAGACCCCGCCAATTCAAAGAGAGAGAGATAGAGATATAGAGAGAGAGTGTGATATATAAAGAAAGAGATATAGAGAGAGAGAGAGCGAGAGAGAAAAAGAGAGGGAGAAAAAGAAAGAGAGTGATAGATAGAGATAGAGAGAATGAGAGAGAGAGAGCGAGCGAGCGAGCGAGAGAAATAGAAAGAGAGAAAAGAGAGAGATATAGAGAAAGAGAAAGAGGCAGAGTTATAGAGAGAGAGAGAAATATAGAGAGAGATATAGAAAGAGAGAGATAGAGAGAAAGAAATAAATATAGAGAGGATAGATAGATAGACAGATAGATAGATAGATAAATAGACAGATAAATAAACAAACAGACAGACAGATGGACAGACAGACAAACAGACATACAGACAGACAAACAGACAGACAGACAAACAGACCGACGGATGGACGGACAGACGGACGGACCCACGGATTGACGGACCGATAGACAGACAGACAGACAGACAGATACTGAACTTCGTGCAAGCGCCTGACCATAGCACTTCATATGAAAATCCCTACGATCGATAGCCCACATGAATAGACGAGGCACTATATTCCAGTATAAGATTGCAAAATGGCTGGAACCCATATTCTACATTTGGAATATAAGACATTAGAAGGCTATATTCGTTCTCAAAAAAAAACCGAAAATTTTCGGTGTCAAAATTTTTAAAAAATTTAGAGCGATAACTGAAAATTTTCCGCAACTTTCGAGACCGAGGCGTCGAGCTACCCGGATCCCCAAATTTTCCAAAAATTTAGAAGATTGGGCCTAGTCCGAGACCGCTGAAGAGGCCCCGCCCTCTCAAAGCTGCAGCCCGAGCTTCTGAATTTTCCAGAAATTTTGGATCCTGGGTAGGCCGAACCTGCTCGCGCGCCGTAGTCTCTAAATTTCTCCAATATTTTGAAGCCTAAGTGCTTTGAAGTGTGGTGAATCGTATAGAGGATGTGTAATTGTAGTGCTGTATAGAGTAGATATAAATAGATATTTTGATGAAAAAGAAACGATTCATATATAGCTTGCGCGTTCTAGTATACAGCAATCATAAAGCTAGCTCGGCTCGTGGCTTCTACGGTATACAGATGGGCATGTTCGGATAAGTTGACGTCATGGACCGATTGAAGTATGCTCATGTCATGGGAGTTGCAAGAGCTACAAGCCAATGGAAGAAATACGCGGCAAACTGGTGCAAGCACAAGCGGACATGCAACTCACAAGCAGGGTATTTTGTTTGTAATCTGAGATTTTATTACCGGGAGAATGATATCCTAAAGCTAAGACCGCGAGATTTCCTAAAGCTACCAAAATCTCCGAGATTTTAGAACCGGGAGAGAAGTGCTCGCGATACTAAAATTTCCAGGGTCTTAGTAGCTCGAGACAAACATATAAGAGCTTTCACGAAGAAATGCCGCAAACGACCGCATTCCAGGGGGGGTGGGAGCGACACGACACTATTTTATTAGAGAATTCTATTTTCTCTTTTTTATTACCGCCCGTGTCATATATCTAAGCTTTTATTTTGCTTGTTTATTCTTTTAAAATAGACCGATTGCATTTATAATATTAAATAATTATGAAATAGAATTCTAAATAATTCTAATAGAAATTCTCAAAGAAATTTAGAAAAAAATATAACTTATAAGATCTCAAAGATAAAGAAAATAAATTATTCCGCATCTTCGGATAGAATCCATAAATTTAAAGTCAATTACTATACACACGCGCCTCACTCATTGAAATTAAAAAGACTACCCGCACCAGAGATTCGCATGAGATTCCCTGAGATTACCGTGATATTCCCTGGAGTACCCGACCCCAAAGAGTTTCGCGAGGTTGCTTGCAGTGCCTAACCCCAGAGATTGCTATGAGACTCCCTGGATTGCCCAGCCCGAAAGACTTACCATAAGACTCGTGGAGTATCCAAACCCAAAAATTATCGTGAGATTCGCTAGGCACCCTAGACAATAAAAATCCCAAAGATCGCCGTGAGACAGACCCAAAGACTACCGTGAGAATTGCTAGTGTGCCCATGAGGGCCCAATCCGTGGACCAGAACCTTAACCCCACTCAAAATATATCCCGATAGATCATCGACTATGCCCTCAATCGAAGAGACGTATCTCAACACGTGAACGGGAACCCCACGTCTGTAACGTCATTAATCGGCCAGTGACCGAATGACCTAAATCGAATACTCGTTTTTTTTTTTGCCGCGTACGGGGGCCCCACAACCGTAACATCAATTCGATGCAATCTAACCTGAATCGAACGCTCGTGAGTTATTTCTTGTGCGAGGACCCCACGACCAGTGGCGTAACCCCATAGATCGTCGAATGATTTGAATCAAATACTCGTGTTTTGCTACGTGTACGGGCCCCACCTCCGTAACGCCGGTCATTGGTGAGACCTCCACCAACCGGCGCGCCCAGACGCGTCATACGGAGCGCCTCTAGACACGTCGTGCAGCGCGCCGAGACGTCGCGCGGCGCGCCCACTCGTGTCACGCGGCATGCCTAGACGCGTCGCGCGGCGTTGCCAGACGCGTCACGCGGCGCGCATAGACACTCAGCGGGGCGCGCCCAAACGCGTCGCACGGCGTGCCTTTGTTCGTCGAGTCGCACGTCCCTCTGCGCCGTGCGGCGCAGCACACATCGGCAATAGCTATGCGAGACATGGTATAGAGCGTAGATTCGTCGTGCGGCGCGCCTAGACGCATCGCGCGCGCGTCCAGACGCGTCGCGCGGCACGCCCACACGCGTCGCGCGGCACTGAATCGAACACGTGTTTCGTTAAGTGTACGGGGGCCCGACGTCCGTATCTCCAGTCGGTGGTGTGACCGCATGGGTCGTCGAATGACCTGAATCGAACACTTGTGTGTTGTTACGTGGCCGGGGACCCCAGGACCGTAACGCCAGTCAGTGGTGTGGCCCTCAAATGCATTATCTTTACGGTGGGGATGTCCGAAATGATTGTCGCGTATGTGCTCTTAATCCAAGGGCGATCTATATCACGCCGGATCTTCTTTAATGACAGCAGAGTATCGTGTATTGGGGATGGGTTTGGGGAATAAGGAAGTGTGTCCTTCCGCAAAGCCCATGAAAGCGCTCCAGCTTCAAACCTCTCTTCTCGAACGAATAGGGCGCATTTGCAGTGGTTGAAGCAATCCAACAGCATTTCAGGTGCTGGACTCATCACACAGCACTCACAGGCACGTTGCCGGCAAGGCAAGAAGCGCAACATGTCTCGAGTGTCTTTCAAACACGGAAACATGCGGCGGCAAAGCGGTGAGGGACGCGCTGGGCGTCAGCGACTACAAAGTTCAGATCTCAATTGCAATAAACCCAGTATGCGGAATCTGTTTTCAATTGGGGTTAAGGTTGTTAAGGCAAGGAAAATTTCCCGTCTCTTCGACATTTCGTGGAGCACCTGCTGCTTCCAAGAAGGAGCGCATAAATCCAGCATTGCGGTGGACCAGGTTATGGTGAAGGTACAGCACACATGAGAAAGCAAGCAACAAGATGCAGGCAGCTGCCTGCTCACTCGCTCTCATCTTCCTCAGAGTCCTCGCTCTCGTCCTTCCCACAGACACTTCGCAAAAAAACAAAGGACAGGTGCGACGGGGCCTGCTGGAGTTGGTAGGTCATGCCCTTGCTGTTGCTTTCCAAGGCCTGCCCATCTAAAGCTCCAGCCATAGCAAGCCTAGCGGCCTAGCGGCCTGCTTCCTAGCAGCCTGGGGGGCCCCTGGCCTTCATACGCGTGCTCTTGATGTGGAAGCCACTAGCGATGATGGCGATGATGCCTTGCCATAGGGCGGGTGCCAAGGAGTGCAGCTTGCAGAGCAAACGTTTGCTTCAATCTGCATGCTGTTGTAATTCTGCTTTGTCGAGTTTGTCCTCATGGTCGGGTGTGAGGGTTTAGAGATTTCTAGGGGTCTCTCCCTGCAACATTTACAAGGAAGAAAAGGCCGACCAGAAGACGGCTGTCAGAACTCGATCCACAGCAAAACCCAAAGATTCGGAATCCAGGTAAATGGCACACCCTTGACAGCAAGTATGCATCCTGGCGAAAGAGATTTCTCGAAATCGTGAACGAGCGGCCAACCGCGATGCTGACGAAGCCTGTTGCCACGCCCAGCTTCCCACAGTAGCCGATGTTTGCAAAGAATGCCTGAATGATCCTCAGCATCGTGTCACCGCAGGTCGAAGCCGCATGTGTTGGAAAATGGGGCTTATGCAGAAAGATGCCGTGCTGAAGAAAGTTCTTTGGGAATCCGACCACCTTGCAATTCAGGCTACTTACGGCAGAACACAACATGCACTTCAGAATGCAGCTCGTGGCCTCCATCATCATAGGGTAGTACATCAAGGTGCCTGCCACGCCCACCTTGATGTCTGCAGTATGCCCACAATATCCCGACACAGGACATGAAAAGATGACGGGCCAGGAAGGCAAACTTCTCAGTACCACAAGACGCTAATAGAATGAGGCCGCTGCGAAAAATGGAACCCAGACGGGAATTCCAACCTGAGAGAAGACCAGAAGCGCTTATGAAGAAGCCAAGCAGTCAGAATCTTCCCACATTGTCATGTAAGGCCCAGAACCATGCCCCAGTTGTTCGACCAGGTGGAGTTGCAATCAACCCAGTATGTGTACCTTCCAGAGTCTTGGCATGGCTGGGCCACTGACATGCCGTCCCAAACAATAATGCAGCGAAGACTTCTGGAGCGGGGGCATGGGGGCACTCGTCCGGATTCTCGAAGTAGCATTCTTCGAATTTCAGCGTGAAGGAGGGGAAATGCCACTGCAGCGTGACACAGCTTCAACTTCTAACAACACTTGAGGCACACACGCTTTTCTAGTCTGTTCTATAAGTGCATGTTACCGAGCAAGACAGGTCGGTTGGCACATAGAGATAGATCGACCCGATAAGTACGGTCACCACTGAGGTGGCGGATGCCACGGCGGCAAGGATGTCACCTGCCAGGTGATGAAAACAACTGTCAGTTCCGGAGTCAGAACAACAGGAACCTGCTCTCTCTCTACCTCTTGCCATGGATGGCGGCCGTGACCTGCCGTGGCCGCTGTATCGACAAGAGAGAGCCCGATCTTGCCAATGTGTTGCAGCTGTGTCGCGGGTCCACGTTCCGCCCGTTTCACGCGTAGGCTGGAGGCAACGAGCCCATAAGCTTCTGACAGCTATCCGAATCAAGCCTGGAATGGAGTACATTTGCAGTTCCTGCCCTGCACATGCAAGACCACAGTAAGTACATGACTTAGAAACACTGCAGAACAAAGAGCAGAACGCTTTTGGTGTACACGCCTTCAAAAAGCTGTGCCGCCAGGAACGGCAAGCGGCAAGCTGACATGTCACCTGGAGAGCTGCATGGAGCCTTGCCAGCTCATCAAAGCTCATCATCTGTCAGCATCTACGCCATCTATGGACCGGTGCTTTTACCAGCCGGTGTGCACAAAACGTTGTCCCGGCTCTGGTCTGTTGAAAATGCCATGACCACGAACCACTCACATGTGACAAGGTGTAAACTGTAAACCATTGGTGCGAGAACTTTCCGCAGCAGCAGCCGCTCCCCAGCTGTGACTCTGCGTCAAAGCACTGCATAGTCCAACACCCAGAGACGCTGATCATCTGATAGAGCCACCGCACAGCAAAACGGGGAACTAGCTATGCGAAGTTCAGGCATGGACCAGACTGAGCACGCGCTCCAGCATCCTGCCAAACGCAGTTTGCCAAACGCGATGCAAAGCGTGTTGCTGTGCCCAGGCCAGGCCTTGTGTCCGGGGCTCGGCCTTTGGAGCCGGCCGCGTATGTCTTCACCAACTTCTGCCTGGCGTCAAGGGCGAAGCACGTTCAGCGGCACGCTTGAGGGCGTCAGTCCTCATGGCAGGTGCCACTTCCCAATCATCTTGAAACCTTCAGACACGGACAAGAAACGCATCAGAAGACTCTGCAGATCCTGCATGTACAACATGACATTGATCGAAATGGGCAAACTGAGACCACAACTCGACACCAGTTGACAGGCCAAAAGCCGCTAACAACTCCAACCTGGACAGGCGGTATCTGTAACTGTTAAGGCTATAAGGCGACTAATGATGCTCTGCAGAGACCGAAAGACGGTCCGAAGCTTCACCGCTTGGGACAGCCGCTTGCCCCGCTTCTTGGGCAGCTGCGATGTGAGCTCTCCACTTTTCTAAACTTGCTGGGACGTACGGAGCACACAATGCTTTATGATCCAAGCTTGTAGCATTGTAGCAACTGCACATGTGCTGGTCTACAGTCCCAGTGCGACTTTTGCTGTCTGGATTTCGAACCATCTCTCGACACAAGATCAAATGAACCGGTTAGCTCGCTGGAGCATTCCAGGCACCCCGCCTTTGCATCTGATCAACTGCAGCAGCCTCGTTCTCCTGCCAGAAGCGGACATCAAATGCGCCTCAAGCGCAACGGTCTGCAGCTGTCTGCAGCTCCTGCAACAAGTCTCCCGAAGCGTTGACCTGCACAGAGCTGCTGCGGGCCATTCTCACGTCGTTCCATTGCCAGTTGAAGAACGCTTCACTAGGCGCGCTGCCAAGCAGGATCGACATCGGTTCTTGATCAAATCTTGCATCTCCGACATGGCCTTCAAGTCAGGCACATCTCAGGACAAGTGCTCACTCAGCATCACATCACATGCCTCCTTCTCCGCGAGGCCAAATGCCTCTCTGGAGGCTTCAATGCCATCCACCTCGCTACTAAGATGGATGTGTGTCCCAGGCGGATGGTGACCTCAACTCTGCCACGACCGTCTTGTCTTGCCTTCTGCTCGTCGCTGAGATCGGGATCCTGTGGGTCTATTCGAACACAAGGTCATGTGGCTGGTTGACACACAGTATGCTACATGCCGCTACATTTAATATCCGACTGGAAGGGAACAAGCGCTTCGCACTGACTCTGTCCTCGACCACCGATGCGACCTCTACCCTGAACAGTGACCTGATCAAAGAATGCTAGCAACGACTTCCTCCACCGCTGCTTCAGCCATACGATTTCGTCGAAGCTCGAGGGCCGTACCGAAGTTGAGGTCTTGAAAGCTCCAAGTCTTTGGCCACTTCCAGTTCCCATTCGTCCACCTCGCCCGTGCAATAAATTCGACCCCTCGTCACCACTGTAGTGACATGTTTTTCTATGCTGATACACGGGCCTTAGTGCAATGTTAGCTGAATGGCATATTCCGCATATTTCAGGCTTGAGCCGTTTGAGACCTGGAGTTTCTCGAGTTACTGTGCATTGCAAGCAACACCCCGCCCCTCTGACCGGAAACCCTGACGAGGAAGTCAGTTCAACCGGATGAGCTTCTGGCTTCGGCTCGAAGCTTGCTCAGATCCTCCGGTGTCACCGAAGGCTTGTTCAGAATCTTCAGCACCTGCAGGAATAGTCTCGCCGCCATCAAACTGATGAACTTCTGATGCGAGCGATCTGCACTCGTTCGTGAGACACTAGTCACTAGTCTGAACCGCCGTCAGCCTTGTTCTGAAGCAGGCTCTTGTTGGCAGCCTGCCAGACACGCGGACGCACTGTGCGCCTCGTTCTACTGACAGCGCAGAGCCTTTCCGCCTTTTTCAACAGATGTTACGAGACGCCGCCGTCTCAGGCACGAGGCATGCTGATTGCGTCATCGCTGCATGGCAGGCAGCCTGGAGTGAAACAGTGCAGCCAGGTCAGATCCCTCGACTGTACAAGCTTTGTCTCTGACGACTCGGCTGAACGAAGATATTTGCCCTCACGGGGCTCTGCTTGTGAAATACGATGTAAGTCGGCCATCACTTACTTCACTATATGGACCGGCTCCATCAGCGGAACCATTTGATGCATGTACACACAGGCCCACCTTATCACACCAGAGCATGGCAACGGACAGAGCCCCTGAACCGAGATGACCGAGGAGGCCACATGAGCCACATGCAAAATGTCGATATCCAAACCTGCCAAGGGACTACACAACTGCTGCGCAAGTGAACCAGGGGCTGTCTTGTGGAGCTCAGCACCGGGCCACTACTAGCCCAAGGCTTCTGCTTTCTTTCCTCCTTGGATTCGTCTTGTAAAGCTCATCCGAACCGACCAGGCCGCGGCCAGTCGCGGCTCTGCATGACAAGCTGCGTTATGTTCGGAGTCTCGACAGTGAAGAACATGGAAGCAACCTTTGACAACGAGAGAGCAGCACGCATGCGACTAGCAGCCACGGACCTCTAATGCGACCGAACGGCACAGCTGGCGCAAATGCCCAGCACGAGGAATGCGAACGTGCCTCAGCGGGCCATGCACGATCTGTGATGCACAATAGCCAGTGGCCCGAGAGCCAGACCAGTCTGCAGGCCAGGTGCCATGAAGCCCTCGGCTCACAACTTAGATCCTGATACTGATATCCGAGACTCGTCTGAGACTCTTGGATGCAGGATATAGGATTCCGAGTCTACCTAAACTTGCGCCTTCCTGCTGCAGGGAATGATACAAGTTGCATCCTGTGGAATCGCCCTCGCGGGTGGAGCTCTTGTTGACTGGACCCTCCAGCTTGCCCCCTTCTTGAACCGAACACTTCCCGAAGATGGAGACTGAGCCGAGAGCGACCGAGCCCTGAAGCTCAGCCATTCCTGCAGGCCTTGAAGGAGCTTAAAGGAGATGCTCTTGCAGAATAAGGAACATGAGAGCAGTTCGAAGCAAGCATGTCTCAAATTAGACTCGAGTGGCCTGCAAACTCCGCACGTCTCTGCGCTTTCACGATTCGTGCCCCACACACTAGGGCGAGCAAGTATTTGAACAACTGGACATGCCAGAATGCCAGGGCTCTCGCGGTTGCTGTCCAACAGGCACGCCTGCAAACGCTCCGAGCAGCTGTTGCCTTCCACAAAATGTCGAGTAAATGTTCCTTGCTCAGGGACGCTGTGCCTTTCTCCTTGAGCCGAGATGAATACGGGAAGCGCATCAGACTCCGACAACGCATGCCCGTGTCTTGTGCGGCACAGCTGCCTGGACCATGTCCATGGTCACGTCTTTCTCTATTCCGAAGAACATGGGTGCCTCGACACAGAAGGCCCACACACACACACACACACACACACTTTCGTCATCGAACTTGTGACCAGGGCAACAAGCTGCGCAGACTGTGCCTCATGCTGCCTCATGCTAACTGTTGTCCAGCCAAGGTAGCTGGGTCCATGACCCAATCCGTGAGCATGGAAACGTCGTCCTTTTTGAGCTCCCCTTGCTCCTCAACAGAGGCACATTGAGCTGGGTTTGTGGACTGGCTCAGCCGGTCACGAGTCGCTCCTGCACCTTGCTCTTGATGAACATGTTGCCTGCCAGGTGCTGTACACTCAGGCTCCAGGCTTGATGCCACGGGGTCATCTCACGTCTGACAGATCAAGGCCGAGTGGCACCATCTTGACACCATTCGAACCAGGACCTGCAATGGAAAGCCACATTCAGAAATGTTCGACACCATGGTGAACTGTCGAAGAAATCAAGGCCTTCTGCTGCACCTTCGGGCCTGACGATGGCTGCTCAAGGCTGAAGGTGCGGAAGAAAGTCTTCGATTCCGAAGAGCAAATCAAAAACCACCGGCAACATCTTGAGGTGCGCGCTGAGCCCCAGGATACCGCCAATCACCGACTTTGCTGCAGTCCACCTGTCCCGTGCGGCGGTGTCCTGGTTCGACCCAGGAAGGAAAGCAGAAAGTTGACAGACATCGGCCGCTCTTCCCTCACAACCTTACCACTAAACGCAACCTCCACTTGCACCCAAGTGAATACTGCTCGGGATGTGTTAGGTCGACGGTAAACGCGAGAATGCAAAGAGCTTTTTGATCCCTCCCACGCAGCAACGAGTTTGCCAGGCTCACTCCGTAGGCAGCTCCCACCTCTTGAGCGGAATGAGCGGAATCATGCCAAATTGCCAAAGGCTTGCATTACAAACTCGAGCAAACTCAGGTGCAGGCTCTTCGTTGTCGATCGCCTCCTGCAGTGCCTGCAATTGTCGCGAACCGTCGAGTCCTTCTGTGAGGGCCTAGTCCTGGCAGTCTCTGAGGTTCTGACAATTGGCTTCTGGCCGTCGACGGTGCAACCGACAGCGAAGCAGGTGCCAAGGATTTCCTTGGCTGTGCCCTTGAACTCCTGGCCGCAGAACACACATGGAGCCAACCATGCGTGCAATCATACGTTATGATATCGAGCAGAGACTTGAAGACACTATGACTCTTGGACTCTTCACAGCAATCCTTGGCCAAGCTCTTCTTTCGCATCTGTCGGCAAATGTCCAGGAACACGTTCTGGGCAGGGCAAAGCGTACGCTGACACAACAAACAAGCTCTGCAGCAGGGCGGCCTTGGTCAGGTTTCCGCCTTAGCAGGGATGTGAAAGAAGATAGCCGTTCCATCACTACGCAAATCTCTGGGGGCGTGCTGTGCTTGATGTTCTTGGTCTTTTTACGATCACGGAGTGGCTCCTTCAGGGCCTTCCAGCGCAGCGTCCGAGCCCTTCCACCCTCGAAAGGCCGAGGACCGACTGCCTTGATGACGAGACTGGTGGCATTCGGCTCCACATCGACTTTGGCTGCCCGGTTCTGGATTGTCAGCTTCACTGTCACCCTGATGCCCTGAGGTTCAGCGCAGCACAATGACCGCCGAGAGCAAGACCCTGAACGAAAGCCTTCCACTGGCTGGTGCCCTTCACGATGTCATCACCTACCTTCCACGGAAGTCGTCCAAAACGTCAGATCGGACGGTCACATGTCCAAGCCCACCTTCTTGGGAGACATACCAAGAGGACCCACTTTGGGTGCCAGCACTGAAGATGGTGCCTGCCCCCACATCGGTTTGCAATCAACCGCTTCTTTTGCGACGTCCTCCTGATCACTAAAGTATTATGTGCCAACACTGCAGAATCACCTGCAGGAAGACGTGGATTGCTTGTTACTTGTTTGTTGGTAACTGACCTGCCTAGGCAAGGCTTCGATTCATATTTTGCTTGGTTGGCCCCTGACTTCATGCAAGCAGGATGTTGGGAAAGGGTCCGCGGCCTGCTCACCACCATACTGCCGCAGAAAGACGACCTCAATGGCAAAGATGACTGCGTCTGTGCCATCACACTCGACAACCCTATGAATGTGCCTTCACCTCGTTCGGGTCAAATTTGGGAGCCATGCTTCTCCTCGGCTGACTCGCGAGTGCACGGATCCACGAAAAGGAAGGCGACAGAAGGCCGCCGGAGTTCACTCACCGCGCTCACGCCAGGGGGAGGGTGGTTCTGCTACCTGCGAAGAGCCGGAGATGGCCGCGGAAGTCAGCGCGGCTCCACAAAGAAACACCTTTGCGGCAGCGCCAATAAAAACAAGCTTTCCTACCGCCTCACTTGCACTCTGGGAATTGGCAACGCGCCACTTCGCGACTGTATCTCGTACCTCAAGCTTGTTCAGCCCCGTGTGGCTGCTGGTGATGTCTTTTCAGAGTCGCTGACTGCAGTGATCCCAGTCTCTCGGAGAGACGCTTTGCACTTCCTTGTGCCGCTTCTAGTCACTGTAGTCTCGGGCACTTCAACGTCATTTTGATATATTTTGATTCATACTCATCCGTTGAAGGAGGTTTCTAGACTGGTCGCATGTCTTCTCCAGCCCTCAGGTCTAGTATGCCTTTTTGTCGCCGAGCCGCTGACCGGGCGACTTGGCCGTTATGCTTGAGGCTGTGTAAGCTCTCTTGTCACTCGTGTCAGTTCCAGCAGAACATCCAGCTTACTGTGAAATTACGAGGAAACCAGACGTCCTGGCATGTGATCGCATTCCACACGAAGATGCCGTACATCTCCTGCGTGCGGCGACGGCTCACTGACTGGACTTGCTGCTGGCTTGCAGAGAAGATCCTACAACAACAAGAATCAGGAGGCTCGTATTCAAACGAAATGTGCTGAAATGCTCCTCCTTGTTCTTGTCCTCAATCCACTTACCGACTTGGACAGGATACCTGACAAGGTCGCGTCACTCCAACGGCTGAACCCAGCAGAAGTCAAGCATCAATATGGCGCACGCAGCTGCCCAAGCATCCTCGTCTTCTGAGGAGCTGTCCACGGCGTCATCCTTCAGGACCTGCTGAAACCCAGCACTCATCTTCCAGGATAACCCAACAAAGTGGGTGATCGGCTGTCACACCACCCTCAAAACAGAGTCTGCAGCGTCATGCCACCTTGTTGTTCGTGTAGAAGTCCGCCACCTTCGTGAGCTCCTGTAAGGCGGCAAGCACTAATCATCCTAGACCAGTGCCGCGAGTCTGCCGCATTTAGTCGGGTCCTCCATGAGCTTGAAGCCACGCACGCCTTCCAAAGGAGGACTGTCCTGCGGACCCGGGCGAAGAAGCATTGGTCCTCCTTGTTGGAACTGTTGCGTCCTTAATGCCAAGCTCGGCTCCGGTGCCGTCGGCTGTCGGGTCATCCCCGAGATCCTGTCTCCAAAGAATGAACCTCACCATGGGCTTCCGCGAAACCACGGACCGCGCCTTGCCACGTTCCTTGTTAAGCTGCAGAAGTGCCTGGAGACAGCGCAGCGAGTCTGCTAGGGCTGGTCTCCGGCCATGTGGCACTTGCGGCCTCTTTCGTGTAAGTAGCCTCTTCCCAGGCATCCCGTACAGGAATCATCATTTCCCTGAGCCGCTCCTCGACAGAAAGCTCATGCAAAGCAACCAGTTGTAAAGCATCAACTAAGAGGAAGAGAAGCGGTGAAACGAAGTGAAGCGAAGTGAAGCGGTTGTCCTCAACGACACCGTGGAAAATCTTTTCTGTGTCGCTGGCCTCCAGACCTATCGACACAGAGACTGCCGACAGCAGGCACGTGCGACGGTGTGGAGCCTAGGCGGTCTCCCAGTTGGAACAACGCCTGCGGCAGCGCGTATACGGCTTGCGTGGTCTTTGGAGCACAACTTGCGGCTCTTGCACTCCGAGTCGGGGCGGACCTCTTGGGCTTCCTCCGACATCACACCTACACACAAGAACCACGGAGAAGAAGGGACGCTCGACACCAAATGCGGGGAGGCTGTTGATCAAGTACACTAGATTGCTGAGACACATGTGCACCAGACAAGGCACCAGACAGACGCTCAGAATATCCGTCTGTGTCTGTAGCACGCGGAACGGCCAGCATGATTTCTGCGCCGAGGTACGGAGCAGAGGTGATGGCAGGCCTTAGGCCTCCCTGGTGTCTTTGGCTTCGCAGCCTGTAATACGAATATAAACGAATTCTGCAAGCAAAACTTCACGAGGCGGGCCCATTTACAGCTCGTCGTGTGCCTCCTCCT